GCTGCCATCCTCGCAGGATACGCTGCGATCCTCGCAGGATATGCTGCGATCCTCGCAGGATACGCTGCGATCCTCGCAGGATACGCTGCGATCCTCGCAGGATACGCTGCGATCCTCGCAGTATCTGTACTGGAGCCAAAAATAACAACCCAAAGATGAATCTGGCATCAGGTCTGATCCGAAGCTCGGCGGTTGCTCCTTCTCATCACCGTCGTTTTTGGGGTCATGATTTTCCCACGGGTGTGTTTCCTGTGAAACTGATGCTCAACCCCCCCCCCCAGCTGGTCACACAGAGCTGGAGAGAGTTCAGACCACAGCAACAAAAACACCTTCAGACACACAGAAAAAGATTTTTTTTCCCTGAACTCCTCCTGCTGGGCTCTGGACAGTAAGTTAGCGGCGCTGTCGGTGAGCCGCTCGCTGGCGTCAGTCGTTTGGAGCATCAAATGTTCAATTCTTAATCTTTAAATCCAGCCTTTAAATCTGGCTGTTCTAACCTGAAGTGAAAATCCTGCAAGAGAATCAAACAAACACAAAACAGGCTTTACTTTCCTCGGTTTCCCACAGCGCTGCTTGGGTAGCCGGGTGTCTCCGGGTGTCTCCGGGCCGTCCAGCCTGTCTTCACTCATTAGATCGCAGGAAGCTGCTCTGATCTTCATGAGGCGTCAGGGTCACATGGAGGCTTCCATGTCAGAGTCCGGGTCTTACATGGAGTCGTTATAGAGTCCGCTGCAGGCCTGGCCCGCTCCGTACCGGGCCTGTGGTCGGTGGTGAGAACGCAGGGCCGTGACTCGGCCGCAGCTTATGATCTTAGTGTTTATAATGCGCAGAGATGAAGTCCACACAAAGACACGATCTGCTTTGGTGGCCGAGCTGCGAGTGAGAGAAGGAACTCAGAAACCACTCATCAACATAATAGACATGTTGAATGATGTATGCGGTGAGTAGCTGATGCCTGAGTTGCAGCCTGCATAGACTGCGCTGATCCAGGACAAGCGTGTGCAACCGACAAGGTTTCTGGAGAAACAATCCAGGATTTATAGAAGAGAAGAATGCATCTCACACGGCCTGCCGGGACCTTTTTCCATTCTGGGAAATCCAGGGGCGAGTTTAGGAAATTTGGGGCCCTAGGCAAAGACAGGCAGGGGGCCCCATAAAGCAGCCCCATTCTCCAGATATAGAAATGTTACTAGAATAGACATCCATTATCTGTTCTAGGTTGTGTCCCTCTCTTCTTGTCCCTTTTCTTCTTGTTTTCCTCTCTATGTTTTGTACTCAGCTGACTTTTC